ATCATGTGGAAATCACAATGCTACATTGCTAAACTATAATGTTTTCTTTAAATATTATATGCTACGATGGATTTTTTTTTGTATTTTGAGTTGGTGGACATTCTGAAATGAATATTCCTTTCAAATATCCTCTACTTCAACCCTGTTTGCAGGAGGCTGCCCTCAGATATAGCGATACCAGCTGGCGCATTTTCAACCAAAACCGACAGAACGTACCAGAAGATGGAAATATCGATACCAAAGACATCTCCGAGACCAACAATGATAGAGACATCCCATCAAACGGTGGCAATGCTCCCGAATCAGATGTTGTCACAGCAAAACAGAACGGAACGAAACCAAAACTCAAAGAAAACAGAAACAATGTCGATGACGGCGAATCCACTTCAAGTGGAAATGTTTACGAGAAAATAAAGAGGCCCGAATCGAGGCAGTTGGTCCAAATCGAAAAAATGGAGGTTACATATGAGAAGGTGAAGTTGACTTGGTAAGAATGATTCAAAAGATACTAATGCAGTGACTAGCTGTAACTAACCAAGGTAGTGGTCTAACACTAACAATTAAATGCTTCAGATTTCACTAACACCACCTACTAACACAGGAACTATCACGTCAACGTCATCAATATCATGAGCAACGACCACAGAATTATTTTCATAACTTCAAAACTGACTGTATATTATTCTGCAATGTAGAATAGTTCATCTAGTTGAAAAACCTGGAGATTTCTGCTGATGAGACAAAATCACGAATGGGGCTCTATCTGCATAAAAAGTCTCAAAAGGATTCGCTTTTATTTTGAGTTTCCTGTTCTTTGTATTGAAAGTTTAGGTTAGAATTTGGCGATCTTCCCGCAATTGTGTTTCATAATCATCTTCAAAATGCATGACATAAAAAAATTGTAGGTACATGAGAACGATAATTATGATGGTGTGGAGCATTGAAATTTTTTCAGCAATAACTCATCAATCATTATCGCTCGCTATAATGGTGTTCTTTTATAGAAGTTTTCCAATAATAACTAGGTTTTCTTTGCTACCGGTAATGGGATTTTACCATAAACGCACAAATGAATGAGTTACTCACATCACAAATCATTGAAAAGAAGAGAAAATTAAATTTTTAAAGATTCCAAACCAAGTTACTTCACGACGTTTCGATTGTTAGTAGTATCCGCTTCATCAGTTTTAGCGGGAGCTGATCGTTCGGCGGAAATTGGCCATGTTTCGCTTGGTTATAGGTTTCCATATGTTGCGTATCTCTACGCTAGCTTGGCTAGATGCGTTGATGGACAACATATATGCGGCTTCTCTGAATTGTCTCCTAAACCAGTTTTCTTCCTTGTGGATGATTTCAGCTTGTTATGTTGATGAGTCCAAACATGCTCTGCTATTCCTGATTTTATGGTTTCTCCTTGGTGTGTGTATCTCTTCTGTTTGGCAATGCGAATTATCAATGGCCGATAAATGATTCTTTGCACTCGCAGGGTATCCGGTAAATGCAATTCTTGGAATCGCAGTCCGCGTTTGGTGGCCTGGTGTTCGTGAGACTGCTACGGATAGTGTTCCCAGATCTGAAGCAGGTTCTGATGTTATACTTCTTTTTCTTCTTCTTATCGTTTCTGATAATCCTCTGACGTAGGGAAGTACAAGTACTGGCTGTGGCGGCTTCTCTTCCTTGTGGAGCTCTTGCTGTTTTCTAGCTAAAGCCTGTTTTACCATCACTCTGGAGTAACCATTCCGTTGAAGGTCATTTTTGATGATGCCTAGTTCCTTTTCGAGACCTTCCTTTGTATTACAGAGCTGGAAAGCACGGTCTGTTAGAGTCTTGATGATTCCTCTCTTAGTCCATTGATGGTGGTTGGATTCCTGGTTCAGATACTCCCGTGTGAATGAGTATACAGATGTTAATCGTTTAGTGTCGGTCCTCTTCACCAATGAGTCTAAGAATGGCAATTCGTTGTGGACTTCCTTCTCTATTGTGGAAGTGATGGAAGGCCTTACGTTGTTGATGTGCTTCAGGAAAGTGTCTAGTTCTGCGTTCCTATGGTTCCATATTATGAAGGTGTTGTCTACGTATCTCAACCGGACTCTGATATTGATAATAATCACTTTATTGATATATAAGCTTCAGTAAAAACGAAGTATACGAGGCACTAAGGTCGCTCAAGCTTAAAAAGACTACTGGTCCAGATGACATTCCAGCTTTCATCCTAAAAGATTGTGCACTTATGCTTGCTCGTCCTCTATCGATACTAATTAATATCTGCTTAAGATCGGCTACAACATCAAGGATCTGGAAATCATCAAAAGTCTGTCCCATTTTCAAGAAAGGAGATAGACAAGATATTTCAAATTATCGGCCTATCTCTATTATTTGCAACTTTGCAAAGGTTTTTGAGATTCTGCTGGAGCAAGTTATATATCGGCATGTTAGTTGCAATATAAGTATAAACCAACACGGTTTTATGAAAAATCGTTCAACGGTCACCAATCTTCTGACTGTAACCCAACATTTTGCTGAATCTATTGACAATAGGGCCCAAACTGATGTTATTTACACAGACTTTTCTAAGGCCTTCGACAGGCTTGACCATGGCATTCTACTGACCAAACTAGTAGCCTTTGGATTATTCCCATCCTTAATCGCACTCTTTCAGTCCTATCTACGGGATCGAAAACAATATGTTCAGCTCGATGGTTTCAAATCTACCGAATATAGTGCTTCTTCCGGTGTTCCACAAGGTTCAAATCTGTGACCGTTGCTGTTTAATATATTCATCAATGATATTGCAGATGTTATAGATGTGTATTTCCTTTTATATGCCGATGATCTAAAACTATACTGCCTCGTTGAGAACATAGATTATTGTGTGAACCTCTCAGCAAACGTAGGACGGGTTGTTGAATGGTGTTATCGAGATAACTTGTCACTGATCCCGAATAAATGTAAGGTCATGTCCTACAGTTTGAAAACGAATATCTTGATCTTTGATTATTCAAAAGAAAACGTTTCCCTGGTGAGACCAGAAACATTTACAGATCTTGGCGTCACATTTGACACTGCACTATCATTTAATAGGCATATCGATAATGTTGTAGCCTCCTCCTGTCGTTTGTACGGATTAATTGCACGCAACAGTAGTGATTTCAAAGAAACTTCGACCTTAAAAACTTTATTCTATGCTTTCATAAGAAAATAAAAATAAATAAATATATATGTTGGCTATAACAAGTGGAAGTGGCGATCCTATTGGCAGTCCCTCATCTTGCGTAAAGAATTCGTCCTTCAGTTGGATAGCTATCCGGATGGGAACCTGAAAGATAGAACACACTTACCGATACAAGTGATCATGGAATCACTAGGATGCTGTATACGTAACTGCTATTTCCAACTGAAGGACGAATTCTTTACGAAACACACACAGCGAGGAGAAACCAGAAAATCAGGACTAGCAGAGCATGTTTGGATCCAACATAACATCAAGTGGGCTCAGGCTGAAATCATCCACAAGGAGGAACGCTGGTTTAGACGAAAATTCAAAGAACTTGTCTGACTAATTTTATTGAACCGAAGTCTATGGAATGGTTTTGTTGCAAAATATGATGGGCGACTTCTGATTTTTCCGGTCTTACATATTTTAGGTGGACTAAGTGTTCCTTATATCTTATTTCAATAAATCTTTTTGTCTGTCCATATAATTTTACATCGCAGTCCTTACATTAAGTTCCTAAAATCCCAGACTTTTCCGAAGTCTCAACTTCGTCTTTTGGGATAAACTCGAAATCAAATGCAATATAACTGCTGGAAACTGATCTCATTTGAATTCAATTACATAAATACTGCATTATCATACTGAAGTAATAATTGATCATCAACTAAAAGACCATCAACCCTTAAGGCGAGTTCATATTAGAACGATTGCGATAATATTTTTGCGGTTCCGCAAATTTGACCCAATTGTCTAAATACCCTGTACATATTGAATTTTCAATTCTCATTTTTCATACTCATTTCATCTTCCATTTCACACAATTAGTTTTTATTCAGTCTCAAATCATCTCATTGAGAAATCAAAATTCTATTCCGTCAGAAACAACGAAGAATGGTCTTATTGTACAAAGAAGGAACCATGGAAAAGTAGTATATTTCCAAACTCCATTCGTCAACATATAAAATTAATGTCTAACATCTGTTTTGCAGTCTGACAGATGCCCTGTTTCCTTCGACTTCTGGTCTTACTTTCTGTTGTTTTATCACCCGACAATTCCGAATGAAACCACTTTTTAACCACGTCAATATATTTCTTTCTTTTACGGGGGTTGCGGCATTTCAGCTCGACTTCTCATCGACACTGTTGCCAAATATAGACGATAGATTTCACAGTTGTTCAATAAATGTCATATTGATTGTTTCATTCAAATTCATCAATAGTCCAATGAAATAACTTTTTTGAATGTACTGGCGTTTTGGTTGAAAACCATCAGGAATGAAAAAACTACAACCATTAAGGTTTTTTCCTGAGGATGACCTACTTGAGGGTCGAACCGTCATCAGAGGCAGTCACTGATTTGCTGTGGTTTTTCATTCCTGGCCTCGTCCAATGAAAGTCGTCAGTATATTTGAAAATTACTTTGGCCACGAACATCGTGACTGTATTACAGATTTGTTTGTTTTTGGTATTCGATATTCATATGAATAATCCCCCAAACTGAGAATGCCAAAAACAATATTACATTAATGATTAGTTTTTACTCTCAATTTGATTGTAAATGTCCGTGGCCAGAGTTGACGTGTAAGTGTGAGGAGGAAAAATTGGGTACAAAACTGGATTTTTTATCGTTGTTGAACACAAGCTTATAATGAAGTTGAAGAAGAATAGTTTGAACATTCTCTGAAAAAGTATACAAAAATATCTGTTTAAAATCTGTTTTTTCGTTAACCAGCTGTCGCACCCCTACAAACGACTTCCCTCAGAAGTCAAAAATTGTGCGAGCTGAGGACTAACGGGGTCTTTGTTTTTAACGTGTGATTCCTAACACGTTCGATTACATTCAATATTTCCGGTTATATTTCAATGTGTCATTTTCAAAAAAAATACAATTGAGAAAGAAAGAAAAAATTGACAATGTTCAGAATACTTATGACAGTACTATTTGCAGTCCTCAAG